AAACTGTTTAATGGCATGTTTCATTGTATTTGACATCGGAACAAACAGGAGGCAGTTTTAAAGTACTTACTTTGGTGTATCTAAAAATACTTGTCTTAATGTGTTTCGTTTATAATTGATGGTATTGCATTATTTCGTGAGAATTAACAACCTATAAATGCCGAAGTCTGATGTATTAACAGTCTTTTTATTTTATGCTTTTCAGTGGATTACTGATTTATCCGTGAAAATTATATTTGGTAATTTCACAGTGAAAATTATCAAAATATAATTTCACTCTTTTCAATGACGAAACTACTTTTTAAAGATTTTCCCCATGTGGTACCTCAATTTTATTTTTGCTGACAATTCTGACAATGTCAGGCTGTTTAAAGAAAAAGCAAAACTGAAATTTATTAATAACTTAAATGTCAAAAGTAATAAAAAGAAGAAAACTTACTTCTATTCATTCAAATTCATGAAATTCCAATCACCAAAAATTTCGTTTTTTTTTGTTTCATTTTGACAGTCTCAAAAATACATTCCTTCCCCATGCAAAACTGCTCTTTGATGACATTTGGGCAATATTAAAGTATCCTACGAGCAATAACTGCCGTATGCTTTATGAAAAAATTGAAAGCATTGACAGCCATAACTCGAAGAATAAGTTAAATCAACCCAGCGTTCTTGAGCAGGTTTCCAAGTTTTCCATTTTCCTAGCTCCTTTTCTGAATGTTTTTGTGTGTTTTTTCACATCTGTCAACATCTTATTTTTTGTCTGTTACAATCCTCAAATAAGTTTTCTTTCTTTTAAAAATGTGTTTTGACTAACAAATCCAAATTATATCCCTCTGAATCTTACACAATTATTTTTCCTCCATGAAATACACAACTTTAAAAAATGACTGCGCTTACAATTTACAAGGCCAGGTCTAATATAAATTCGCACTAAGTAACAGAAATATGGATGGATGGTTGGACTTTTTCTCCTACAAGAATTGTTTGTTTTTATTATCAAAACAAGCGATCATTCATATTTTTTTAATAAAATTAATAAATATCACCGTCATTTAATGTGATTGGCGGACTTATTTTTCAGCTCAAGACTTCTTTTTTTTTAATGAGAAATTCCGAATAAATGGGGCTCTCAATGGGGGAAACAGTTTTAATATTAACGTTAAAATTATGGAAATTTCGTTTTTAACTTGTTTTTAAGCATAAAATAAAAAGAAAATTTGTCTGTTTTTTGGTTAAGATGTAATTTTATTTCATCTCGTGAACTTTAAAAACAGTATTCTCACTCGTGGCTTCGCCACTCGTGAGAATACTGTTTTTAAAGCCCACTCGATGAAATAAAATTTCATCTTACACACAAACAAACAAATATCCTCTATATATTGAGAAAAGTAGGACATGTGTTTTAAATATAGAATTTTATATTTCATGACGTGACAGATAATTTGGATGCATATATACGGTGACGAACATGTGCCGTAATTACTTTACATGGTTTTAATCAGATAATATTTGTGATTTTTAGCATGTGACTTATATAATCAATTCACACTTCTGTAACAGTCTTTTTGTGGTATTACTTTAATATTAGCATGAATGTATCACATCAAGCTTTTTAATAGTTACTCTGTGGTATTTCTGAAAATGGTAAGGTGTTAAAACTACATTTAAACAAATAGCCTTCAAAATACCACCAGCAAAAAGACAATAACACAAAACATTTTTCATGTTGGCACTTGTTTGACAACATTATAAGAGAAAGAAAACAGGCTAATGCAAATGTTGTTAGAATACGAGACATTATGGTGTAAGGTTATAACTCTAACGTGTTTTGTCACACCATAACATTTGCCGGTAAACGCATTATATAGCTCATTTTTTAATAAATTGTTGTCATTTATAAGAACAAGCGGGAAACAGTTCTTTAAAAATCTACAACTATAATGAAAGGGAACCGACTAAAATCGTGCTGCATAATTCTTGAAGTGTAGGAAGTGCGGTTCTCAAATGTAACGCTCTTATGGGAGCATCATGTCATTTTCTAAAAATATGATTTGTACGAAAATTGACAAAAATAAACCGCCGAGAATGAACCATAATATAAAGACGCGACTTACTTTTCTTATATGCCTTTAAGTGTCCTCTTTTCGGGGTCTTCAAAAGTGTACATTGATTTTAACAAATTGGCATTATAAAGGCTTATCACATAAACCGCGGCGCAGTAGTGTAATAAAGCCATTTAATAAAAACGATATTACACTAGTGTAATAACACTTTGACGTGACGTCATTTGCGCTTTATATAAACATAGCGTTAAAACGCGCTAATGTTAGCGTTTCACTATAGTGAAAAATGACTCTTTTTAACAGTTTACTGTTTTTTATTTTATATATGTGATAAAAGGAATATTATATAGAGGAAATTTGTGTTTTTCTGTGTAAGATTGAATTTTATTTCATCGAGTGAGAATCAAAAACAGTATTCTCACGAGTGGCGAAGCCACGAGTGAGAATACTGTTTTTGATTCTAACGAGATGAAATAAAATTCAATCTTACACAGAATAAACACAAATTTTCTTTTTATTTTATGCTTTTTCGGTTTATTTTACCGAAGTAAATGCTTTTTCCGGGTTTTATTTGCATATTTCCTCCCATTGAGAGCCCCAAATTTGACTTCCACTTAACAAAATATTACGCTAAACAAAATAGAGCAGACAAGAATTACCGCATGGTTTAATTAAACACCATCATAGTCATTTTTTTTAGAAAAAATATTGTGTAATACATGTATGCATATGAATAGGCAGTAGTTTTGTACCGTTTTAATCGTCTTTTAAAAATCATATTTTGCGAATTAATTTACGGATGTTCATTCTTAAAAAAAAAAAAAATCGGCCGCCATATTGAAATAAGTGAAGCGATGGAAAATTAAAAACTGTTAAATGTCAAAGTCTAGTGTAATTTGAAGTTCTGTGGCGATTTTAACTGAATTCACGGAATTAGGAGGATTTTAGCGTTATGGAGCGGTTGGTTGTCAACATGAATCTATTGAACTATTTATAATATTTCTAGCAAGTGAAAGTGTTCCTAAAACCGGATAGCCGAAAGTTCGACTGTAGTAGTATACGTGACATGTGGTTGAATACATGTAGCTCATGCACTGAATGTAGAATTAGGGTATTTGTTTACTTGCCGAGCAATATACTGTTATGTGAAGTATTTGGTACTTGACAGTTTTGGCTGTACTTGAATATACCTAAAATCATCAAATTCAGTGCTATAGCCGGACTGTGCCATCATACATGTATTGTATTTGTTTGGACAACACTTATCAGTCAACAGACAGTAAGTTTATTTACGTAGTAGTTTACGTTTAAGTAGTTTATTTATCCATATATTTAAGAAGACACATGTACATGTATGAAAGACAATTTGTGTTGACACCTATATTGAAAAGAAAGTGGCTAACCGTACGGCTAGCCAAAACTTGCAAAAGTTCTAGCCGTACGTGAGTCACGTACGACTAGCCAGGACACACTGTATTGGCTAGCCGTATGGCACTTTTCAAAAATGTATGGAAGGCGAAAGTGCGTATGTTATTTTATGACTTTATGACTTTAAGCGAGGATTTTAGTCAAGAATCATGAAGAATGTTTACTTTTAAAAAAAAAGTTTTTAGAGATTAATCGACATGTTGGCTACAGTAAAGAATATACTTTGTCATCTCAAGACGTCGAGAAAAAAATAGCGCTTGGTTGCAGTTAAATAACATCAATTGAAATAGTTTACAAAATTTTGATAATAATCCTTTTTTGTTTCATTAAGTTTAATTATTAAAATTGAAAAAAAAAAACAAAAAAAAAACACTGAAAATAATTGTTGTTGGGCTCTGATAATTGCGTCAATTACCGACGGTATAGAAGTTTGTCCATCGTCCATCATTAAGGAAAGTTTGCATTATTAAATTACTTAAAATTCCTTTTCACCGTTTTTTTTTTAATATTCTTTTTATTTATTTATTTATTCCCCTCCGATCATTATTTATTCGATCCATGTGCTTAATTAGCAGATTTAACAATTCATCTTTCATACAAATCATAAGCATGAAAATCAAGGACGTTATAACATGCAACTTTGACACTTTATTAAGATAGATTATACAACTCTTGTTCGTATTCATATTATTTTTTTTGCAAAATTGCGAGGATCTTTATTAAAGTGAACACACTAGGACAAATGCGGAGATTTGCTTAAAATCATCGTTTAGAGACACAAAATAACATGTGCATTTTCGACTTCCATATAATTTTGAAAAGTGCCATATGGCTAGCCAATACAGTGTGTCTAGGCTAGTCGTACGTGACTCACTTCAGCTAGAACTTTTAGCTAGCCGTACGGGCCCATACGGTTAGCCACATCCTTTTGGAAGCCCTTATTTTCACAGTTGTAAATTTTTTTTTCAATATTTTAATTTTGTAACTTTTCCTATGGATTGGGAAAATAACATAGTATTTTCAAATCAATTGGGAATATGGTCCAATAACGGCTATAAAATAAGCCAAAAAAATCCCTGACACCACTTGTGAAAATATTGCAACTGGTGTTCACTCAGTGAAATAATAGTATATTTCAATATTACATGTAAAACAAACACATTTTCTATTTACTGCAGTATTTTACGCTTTTTTCAGTGATTTTTAACATTTTTACTGAATTTGCTGCGCCATGTCAAACATTTGATTTCGTTACATCACAGTATAAGGGTTGTCATTAACATTTTTTGCAGAAGGTTTGTTTTGAACTTGAGGCGGTCATTTCTGTCTTTATCATGCATAACAAAGAGTGTTTTCTTAATTTTGAGGCGGCCCATAATGCATTTGAGACAGGCATTTTGGCCTCCTGCCGCCTCTTAATGACAACCCTGACTGAGTGACAGTATCAAAGTTGGAATATCATTTTTAACATAATTTACATTGTATGATGATATTTACTTGCTTTTTCTAAAGAAGCAATATTTACAAATTTATTTCTTTGGATAATTCCATTTAGTAATAAATGATATAATTCATTTCATTTGCATTTAGATAAAGTCCAACAATCATGACAATAGTGAAAATTATATTTCATAATTTCACTTTTCACTGTGAAAATAATTAAATTTTATTTTACTTTCAACTCTAGAGCATCATGACAATGATTTTTGTCTATCATTTATTCAAGAAGAACTATTGTTCAATTTTATTTTAAATAAAAACATGAATAAAATATAATTTACCGACAATAAGACAAATTAACTCTGGAATTTACAGAAATTAGATCTACTAGAAAAATGTTTTTGGCGAAGTTTTCCAAATTCATGAATATGGGGGAGAACACTTTTTGTGAAAATGTTGCATTGATCCGATGTTCACTTTGTCAAATATATTTTAATCTTACATGCAAAACAAACAAATACTCTCTATTTAACACCAAAGGGTTGCAACAGTTGAACTGGAACTCACAAAAACAAACATCAATTTCAACAATTGCACAAATTTTAATATTTTTCTTCTCTTTGTATATTATTTACAACGTATATGAAGTATTTAATTTATCATATAATTGTGATCTGAGATCAATAATTTTTAAATAACATTTTTGAAAGTTATATTAATATTTAAAAGTTTATTAAATTCACTGTAAATGTGTTTAATTAATAATTTTTCTCTGAACAATGAAACATGAAAATTAACAAAATTTAACTTATTAACAAAACCAACAACTGTTTCAGTCATCATTTTACAACAGTCATACCATGAAGCACTAGTCTTTCAAGTTATGCAATTAGTAACCAGATGAATATAGTAATACATGTAACTTGTCAGTCAGTCTTTTATTCAAACAACTGTCATGACTGTGGGTTATTAAGCCTGCTCAGTCACTGTCACTATCTACAACATATCTAATTCGTTTAAATGGCCTCTGGCGTGGACTTTCAATATTTGGTGATGCTGGGCTAGGTGTGTGATGACCTGAATATTGAAGATGATTTGTTTGCGATAGCTGTTGACTTTCCGTCTTGCTTCCCATATTTATAATAACATTTCCATGTATATTTGAATTTATGAAGAAACCGGGTGGGAAATTTCCATTCGAATTAGTTGCAGCACCATGAGTAAGTTCTAACGCTGAGGCTGGATTGCTCGCTGTAGCTGTGGCAGGTCTTACCAAACTGATTGCATTGGTACATGTAGATTTGTTGGACAGGATGTCTGATATTTGTCTGCTTTGATCTGGGTTAAGTTTACTGTAGTTATTGATACTATTTACATTCTTATGCCCTGATATCTGCATTATTTGGTTTGCTGGAACACCATCATCACTTAATTTCTGAATAAGTCGCTTTCTTGAACTGAAATTATAAAAAAGAATTATAGTTTTATAAATAATCATAAAATTTGTATTGTAGGCCTATAGTCACTTAAATAACTTGGTACATGTATTTGAATCTCTAAATTGTGCTTAAGAATGAAAGTGATTTTAATTGACTTGTCAAGCTTTATTACCTAAATTGTTAAACAGGAAATACAATAAATTGACATTTTCAGTTTAAAAATAGTTTAAGGGGTCATTTGTTTCCATTATTTTATTGTAAAAATACAAGATGAAGAATAATTTTACAGGGAAAGAAATTTTTTGAACTCATTACATACTATCCAGTGGACAGTAAGTTGATAATTGATATTTTTTCACAGTGAATACCGGTATATAGAGGATATTAAAGTTTTTTCTATAAATACAGGATTTATTTTCATTGAGTGGTATGAAAAATTTAAATAAATATGAGTGGCAGTAGCCACAAGTGAAATATGATAATTTTCATACCACAAGATGAAAATAAAACTGTATTTCATAACTTTTAGAAAAAAAACTTGAATTTTCTGTTTATTATATACATTTTTCCCCTTTATGACATTACAATTTGAAAAACTTTCCATTAAATTTTGTTTATTGCCTGAATTAAGAAGAAAGTAGTCTGGCAAGACACCAGTGAAAATACATGTACGGAAAATATGTTTCATTACAGTGAAAAATAAATTTATGGGAAATGAAAATAAGCTTTTTATTTCATCAATATTTAATTCAAGTATATAATATATAATAAGAATACAATAAGAATCTTACATTGGCTGCCGGTACAGATGGGAATATCTAGCTTGAGGGTAACTGTTTACGGTGGTAACGAAGCTTAGACTGCAGATATTCCCGACTGTACCAACAGCCGCTGTTTGATTATTTTTCTTGCATATTACATATCAATTATTTTCAGAACAGAAATTGCGAAAACTGATATTTTCATTACGCACTTTTTTCTTATAGTAGCTTATGAACTTATAAGTAACGGTAAAATGACGTCATCCTAAGAACACAATTCATTCATAAATGGTGCCAAGCAATGTGAATGACAGCATTTAAAGCACGCAACTAATGTCTTACATGGGGGTGCAAGACAGGTTTTTCTAGCACCGGTGTAAACGGTAGATAATCCTGTGTTATATGCAAGAATAAATCAAATATACTTTCACTGTAGCCAAACTTTATATGAATTCAACAGAAAAGAACTTTTTTCATTGTTGACATTATGATATCATGATTTTATGCCATCACTAGGGAGAGCCACAACATAACACTTCGAAATGAAGAAACCACTTTACATGCATCACAAAGTGTGGCAATTGTGTGACTAAGTAAAAACAATATCACTCTGTTAATGTTTAACTGTTCTTATTTAAGGTATGTAATAAATAGAATTTATTACATGCTTTCCGGTGGTTTATAGAAATATATCAGTGATATAAAACTGGTAATTTCACTGTTTGAAACAGTGAAATTACCACTTTGATAATTTCACTGTTTTGAATTTTAGCCCCTTTCGTTGTTTCAGTGAAATACCTGCGTGCACAGAACTGGGTACCAACTTCATGACGTGACGTCGTAAATGACGTCAAGTTGTATTATTATTTGGCGCGCTTTTCATTGAGTATTAGGTTTAATATATTTTTAAAACGTTTCTTTGCACAATTATAATAAAAAGAAAATTTGTTTAGTTTAGTGTAAGATCGAAATATATTTCACCTTGTGAACACCAAAAGTTCATATTTCACTCGTGGCTGCGCCACTCGTGAAATATACCTTTTGGTGCTCACTCGGTGAAATTATTCCGATCTTACACCGAACTAAACAAATATCCTCTATATCATTTTTGTGCTGGTTCACTGCTGAATTTATTTAACTTGTTGAATAAATAAAAAAATTATTAATAATTTATGCTTGCCAGAGGCTAGCGGCCCTAGCCTAATATATTTTTTTTTTCAATTTGTTCATTAAAGTCAGTAGTAAATCTACACTCATTTAATATTTTCTAAACCAATTGGTTTGTTTTACCTGTAAGACTGTTACATACCTGTATGGTGTGATTCTAGGGTTATCAATTCCTGCATCTTTTTTCATTTCATTCATGATATTGTATATGGAGTTGATACCCATGGCACACTTCTTAAACCAACATTTCGTAGCCTTAGTTCCAGGTGTTAAGAAAAATGGACTGTCATCAGTGCACATCTCAACTGGCCTTTTAGAAGCGAAAACCTTGTAAATATATACAGGATTGCTCTCTGGATTCTCTTGGTTTTCATAAGCCCTTGGTTTCACAGCCCTGAATATTGGTGAAAAAACAGGAAAGAATTAACACTTTAATCAACTTTTTGATAGTCTCTTAGAACTTTTTTAAATTGCTGATGAAAAGAATAATGGACATTTTGCTTTACCAACATCTTGTAAAATTTAAAACTAGAATCTACTGTATTACAGTACCAAATTAAAAAGACAACAATGTTTTGTCATGTTTTGATGACATCATGAAGAAGAAAGCATGATGTTATGCAGATCTGAATGACTGAAGACCACTAAAAGGTCTAAATTTAATAGATTATTTGTTTGATGGAAAATAATTTAACCTTGGACACAAGCTGTTTTATTATTATTTCTCATTGCTGCACTACTGGTCAAAATATTAAAAAAAAAAAAAAGAATACTCCTCCTGTTTATATATACTGTATAGATCAATTTTTTTTTTAATGAATACATGTTTGTCAGCTTGATCAATGATTTAAATTGACAATATATAGTGCTTAAGTGTTAATTTTTTAACTGAACAAGAAATTTGACTAACCGTATATTTCTGGGATTTTCCCCAGTTCTGGTCTTGGTTTGTCTTTCTGTGTCGAGGATTATGTATTCAGTGCCACTGACTTCATCCAAACTGAGTTTTACATCACCCCAGCAAAGTTGATGGATTTCTTTACCGGTTCTCATACCGAAGTATGTAGTACATATAAACCACATGGAGTGGAGAAGAGCTCGTGGATTTGTTGTTCCAAGTGTTCCGGCTTCATGCATTTTCGCAATCATCCATTCATCCAGCGTTTCTGCTGCTTTTGGCTTATTTCCTAGTCCAATCTTTTTTAACTCTTGTTGTTTCATTTTTAAGACAGCTCTTGTTTTAGAGAATTCTTTATCCCGAAAGATTGAGACAGGTCTATCAACACTCCGTAAATGTCTATCAACTGATCCTAAAAACCCTCGAAGGGTAGTGGGTTCATACTCGGAACCATCATTTTTGGTAACTGCCAGGATGAAATTACAGAGATGGCTGTTTAATTCATCAGGAGGTATAAACTGTACCAGTCTTGTCTCATTTTTTGACATAAGGAAGGCATTAACAAGTTTCATGTCATACATGGTCTTCTTTCTAGTGTTGACATTCTCATTAATTTCCAAGAAATTATCAGGGTCTACTTCTCTGAATAATCTCTCATTTGATTGCACCAGTTGAAAATCACCAAAGGGCTCTTTGTCATAAAAATTATCAGTTATTTCTGACAAAATGTCAGGATCTATTTCTGATTCAGCCATTTTATTGATTTGCAGACGAACTGTCAAAATTATACATGTATGTTGCTATATAAACAATGTAGGGGAAGTTACTCTAAATTGGTCAAAGGGAAGTAAGTTTGTAGTACATTTGAGGCATCCAAGGGGGGATTTATTGAAAGTAGTTCTTCTTGAAAAAGAATGGAATTATATTTGATATGTTTCACAGTGAAATTACCAAATATAATTTTCACAGAAATCTCAGTAATCTACCGAAAAGCATAAAATAAATTCGTGTAGATTCAATACTAAATTTATTGAACTCGTTGAATAAAACAATATTATGCTCGCCAGAGGCTCGCATAATATGATTTTATTCAACTCGTTCAATAAATTTAGTATTAATCTATACTCATTCGATATCCTCTATATATGTATGTCAAACTAATTGCGATATCATTACAAAATAGACTTATTAACTCAGGTTACACGATATAAAATGTGTCTTTTAAAGACTGATAAAACACTGACATCAAAACAATTCTTACAGGAATTGTTAAGTGCAATGGTACTATTTTGCAAACAGATTTTTCATTTTTCAAATATTTTTTGAATAAAGTGCTTTTTATGTTAGGTATAACGGAGTAGCATCGATGGGCACTGGCAAGAGTTACATAACTTCGGTTTTAAAAAATATCATTTACGTCAAAGAATATTCAATGATCCTAATACATGATCGGCAAATGTTAACTTTTCTTCCTAATGGATACTATTTACATCTAAATAAATTTAAAAAGTGTAGATGTATTTTTATTGATCTCTATTTAAATTGAACTCATTTAAAACACATGAAAAATAAGGTATTTAACTATATAAAAGTATATTATTGCGTGGCACTTTAAATGAAAATTGCTTAATATTTGAAAACCATTTGTTATTCTTGTTCTACTGAAATCAACTGGAATACTAAACAAGAAATTCCTATAAATAATTCAGTCTTCTCCTTATTTCAATACAGACAACATGCTAAAAACGCAGGCAAAAACTATTTAGGAAATTACAAATAGGTGCAGTTATCAAGAACAAATGTACTGCGAATTATGCCTTTATTTACATTTTGTCTTTTATATGATTTTACTCACTTGACTACAAAAAAAGATACATACTTTATTACTTTAAGATTCTTTTACAACTGATCCCATCCCCTTTTTATGATACTAATATGTATTCGAGTTCGCTTGATTTTAATTATCGCTAGGTTAAATGAAATGATTTCAATCATTTTTATACAATCATTAAACAATATTGATATTTTGAAAAAATTCATGTGATGTGCTTTACTTGCGTCACTATCCATATATCAATATATGATATATTCTAACACGACCCGCATTTTTCCCTATTGAACATAGAAGAACCGAAAGTGTGTGTTATTATGCTATAAAGTCACTGTTTGACGTTCTATATTTAGATATGTGACGTAATCATTATACACGTGACGTAACCACTAAAAATGTGACGCGCTGAAAATAAGTACGGAAACAAATCAGGCGCAATTTTACTTAATACCTCGTATGGCAGCATTTATTTGTTGATGTTGTGTTAGAATCGAAATAATATATCCAAATCGGTGATTTTATCGCTTGATAACATAACTGTTTGTCGTTCGGATGCGCATCATTATATCACTCGGGCTACGCCCTCGTGAAATAATTCGTCGCATCCGATCTCCAAACAGTGATGTTATTGAGCGATAAAATCACTGTTTGGGATATATTATTTCTTAAACAATATAATATAAAATGTATCAATATACCAGCAGTTAAAATGTGTTCCAGCAGTGTTTTATACCGATAAAAAGTTCAGTTAAATATAAAATTATGTTTATAACATTCGTTATCTTTCAATTAAGGTTTGCATCAATCTTAGGTAATTATGATAGTAATATATGAGAAAGGCAGTATTTATTCAATTAAAATGTATTTAAGCTATTTCACGTCGGTTATCCACTTAATATGAAAAAAGCTTAAACTATATATGATATGAAGAGAATTATTAAAAGAACAATGAAATAAAAAGGTAAACCTGCAGACTTGCTTTGATTTTGTTCCCACATGTCCATGTAGCATTTTGTCCTACAATACCAGTAATATTATCTCTCAAATTTTATATCTGTCACTTCACGCCTGCTGTTGTAAGTTTAAATACCAACATAGATTTTGGGGGAAAAAAAGGTTTTATCCCCAGAGAGCAATAAAACAAAATTAATCATGAAAACTTCGAATGAGAATCAGCATTTGGGAATATTAAAAGAAAAAATAAACGAAGTATATTTTTTCATGTCTCATAGGGTCGTCTAAGTGCAATAGACAATTGCATTATATGCATATGTATGTATGATATAAAATGTCTCTGAAATTATATTTAAAATGCCAATTTAAGTTTATTTTTGTATTGTAAATTATTTCAGTCAATAATAGGAAACAGTATAAAAAGGCCGAAAATCTAATGTCTGCTTTGCACCAATCTCCGTCATAACACAAATAGTGTCATACTTCAATTAAACGATTTATTGCATTACTAAATGAGTTAAATACCAGAAAGCCTCTGGCATATTTATAATTGTTCATGTTCAATAAAAGAGAATAGCTATAACATAAC